CAGGCACAGCCAGTTCAGGGGACTGGCCAGCTGCATGGCCAGAGGTGGTGTCTTTGCAAAAAAAACCTCCATGTCAGTGCAACCCAGGACCCTCAAATCTCAAGAACTGCCCTGCGTTAAGGCTGCTCCTGCAATGTTAGCCAAGCTGTGTTGTGCATCCCATGTGTTTTACTCCCTGATGGCCCATAGGGGGTACGATGTGGCAGATAGGAGCAAACCGAACCTGTGGACCTTTCCCTTTGCATTGTGCAGCGGTAGCTTTATCCCAGTGGAGTGTGGCATGCCTAGGGTCCAGCCCAGCCCCCATCAGGAGTGTTCATACTGCCTTCCCCTCTAGATCCTCTCGGGGAGAGTGTTTCCTTCGCCCATCAGAAGCAGGGCTTGCTGGCAGGAGACTCACAAGTCCACGTAATGGTGGCTTGAGCCTGTTTGGGATGGAAGCAGGCTAATGCAATAGCTTGGGCAGGAGAGGGGAGGCCTGAGCCTCAGGGTGAAATAGCTAAACTCCCTGCAGGCCTGAGTTAGGTTGCAGCAGAGGGACCGGAGTGCATCTGCATTAGCGACAGAAGCTGCTGCAAACTGAATGGTGTCTGGCACTGGCGTAAGTGTCCCCAGGGCTGCCCGAGCTGCATTTGTGCTGCACTGCTCCGTTGCAGTTGCCCTCTCTCTTGGTAACTGTCCCATGGCTCCCAGCCCAGCCCCCCGAATGGTGGCTTGAAGGCAATTGGGCAAAGCTTCGGGAGGAGCCTGGGGAGAAGAGGCCAAGTTCCTTAGAACACACTTTGGTGAAACAGCCCCCACCCGGGCTCCCTGGGCTCCATAGAACAGTCAGTGGCAACTGCCAACCTTGCCTCCTGTGCAGTACAATAGGCGACTAAGCTGGCCCCATCTGCGGTGACCTGAGGAGTATTTGCACCACGGGGACTATTGCACCAGTGCTTCCTGCCCACACTCCAGGAGTCCTCGCCACTGCAGAGGGCCTGGGAGTTAGCCTGGTTTGCAGCACGTCTAACCCAGCCCGTGCTGTGCCTGACTAGCACCTTGGGAGAGCACGTGTGTGCGGACACTAGGTGTGTTACTGGCACGGGGAGGCAGGGTTACCACTTCAGCTATCTGTAGCCCACTGTCAGCACAGCGCAGAATGGGATGGGTGTGCTTTGGGCAGAGGGGAGGGTGCCACTGTTTCATCCTGGCTACTAGGCTTTGTCTTTTGGCTACTAACTGTCAGTTAATCGAGTCAAGCCCTGGTCAACTTCATACGGTACCAGCCTGACCCTGGCTTGCTGACCGATCAGCAGTGCACTCTGTACAGGACAGAGTGACTCAAGATTGGACTAGTGGTGGGAGTTGCAGGTCTCTGTTCCTTGGCCGAGCTGGGGGAGTCGCAGGGAATGGGATGGCAGGGGAGTTGCTGGACAAGGTGGAGGTGCATTGGGGGAATCGCAGGGCTGGGATGGCAGGGGAGTTGCCGGACAAGGTGGAGGTGCATTGGCCGAGCTGGGGGAGTCGCAGGGCTGGGCTAGTGGGTGGGGCAGCAGATCAGGCTTGAGGGGCTTTGGCAGAGGCATGTGGAGGAAGCTTGCTCACTCCCTGCAGAGCCCTAGTCTCAGACACCACCATCCGGATCCATTAGCAGCTTGCTTGCCTGCAGGGCTGTCTCAGCTGGAGCCAGTGTGTCTTGACAAGGGAAGGTAAATCATGCTGAGGAACTTCTGCGCTCCCCAGCTCCGTGCAGCAGGCTGGGGATTGCGTTCAGCGGGTGTGAGGCTGTTTTCCTCCTTCAGCCGGGCTGGGGTGAAGGGAGCTGTGCAGGGCAAAACTGCCTCATGCCAGGAAGTTCTAGAAAGGCAGGAAAGTCCCCAGCGTTCCTGCTGCTCTTGGCCTGGCGGCGCCTGCAGCGTCAGGGAGCCAGGGGCTTGGCCTAGGCCATCATGGTGTCTGGCCTGGGAGTCTGCGACCTCATCCCCAGCAGCCCCGGCAGGGGTGGAAGTGACCCTGGTCAGTCGTGCTGTGTCGAGTCCTGGGCCAGCGCTGCAATAGCCCTGCAGGGCCTGCATGGTAATGGCTGGCGTCCCGCACCCCTCCAGAGCTCCGAAAGGAGACTAGACGCAGTCAGAGAGGTGGGTGCTCTAGTTAGCCAGCACTGTGTAGCCCGCATGTGTGGCCTGGGGGGCCCTTCACATCACAGCCCTCTGAGGGCCATTCAGCCTCCCACCCACATGGTGCTACCTGGAGCAAGAACAAATGCTCTGCCCCATCTGAGAGCAACTTTAAATCCGCCCGACCCCCTGAGTGCAAACACCTGCCCTGCTGCACACCCACCCCTCCTCCATCTGCAAACCCCACCCTGTACACCCCCACCCTTCCTCCCTGTGCACACCCACCCTCCTCCATCTGCCACCCTGTACCACACCCCCGCCCTTCCTCCCTGTGCACACCCACCCTCCTCCATCTGCCACCCTGTACCACAC